TGTAAGATGTATTATGTCTCACTTTTGTAAGAGCTGAACGGATAAATAGAATTTTTTTAAAAAGATAGTAGACATTGAACAAAAATCGATATGAAAGAAGGCAGAGAGATAGTGGTCGCAAATAGCGCCACTACCTAACAGGCACTATGTTTCGAAACAAAAAAAAATGTTTGATTCTCTCGTTTTCGTGTAAACTTAAACGCGAGCAGCTAAGATATTGACATTAGTGATATTCACCAAAGTTCCTATAAGGACATAATAGTTTTAAACTTCTTCTAAGAGGATACACTCAAATATCTTACATCGAGATGTAGAAATGAATCTGGTATGAGTCTGGGTACTCTCTCACGTTCACACTATACCCATATCGATAACACTGCTCCAGGCGCCATAATGATGCCGAGACTCACATCCACATCCAAAGGTTCCATCATCTAGCTATCGATCTATAGGAAAGTGGCAATTCGATGGCTCTAGATAGAATTTTCATGGCCGGTCGGAAGTTGAAATCAAATCATCGAACGGTCAATGAGAACTGTAATAATTTCTTCTGAATAGAGCGTTTTATTCCTACTATCAGTACTCCGTGCAATGTACCATTGATTTCTATTCGAGCTGTAAAAATATAAACTCAATGGATCGAGTTCTAATAGACTTTTAGCAAGTCGTCTGAATCTACCAAAATTACTAATTCAAAATCAACATTCTTTTCTAGAGAGGCAAGAATTGGTATAAAGCTTTTTGAACGTAGTTGAAATATAGAGCTCTTTGTTGGCTATGAAATGGCTAATCATTTTCTTTGAAAGATCAAAATTTCAACAAATCAAACCAAAACAACTATTTTTACTTATATTACAACGTCACCCACATTGCATGAGGGTAATCTTAGGGTGCGGGTGTGGGACAAGAGAATATCATTACCCCATACCCCATACCCGACACCCACACCTGTCCTCGTTTCTCATTTAGATTACTGCTACCATAATGAAAGCACTATACTGAAATATCCATGTATTATGGCAGCTTGTCACATTCCCAGTGCATGTTAAAAAGACTTAAAAACTTCTTTGAACAAGAGAAAAATTTTGCATTATTTTTTGGATTTCAAATTAATTAGTGTACACTTTTTTCCATAGAGTCACATACGGAAGCGCATTCTCACACTTGGCGCAACACCAAAAACTGCCATCAATATGTTCAGTTGCTAAACAATTGTTTGCAATTTTCGTACTATGAAATTGGTGATATCTCTGATAATGGCTGCATAGCTATGAAAAAAATATATTATTAATATCAAGGCACTTTTTCAGTTTTGATTTTTTTATATCTCTTACGAGGAAGGTTTCCCCAGTGATCAATCACTTTTTCGTAGAAACATACATGACTGTATGCAGTTCACTACACTGAATCCGAATATCAAGGTCTTAGTGACCCTTAGGTCTTTTTAGATTCTGTGTTATGATTCTGAAACTCCTTCTGATAAGAATCTTTCTCATCAAATTCAATCTATTAATCAGTCTACCATGTGCCACTAGACAAAATATTCACGGAAATACTTTTTTATAGATATTTTAACCTTAAATTGTAAATGGCAAAATGAATGAACCGTAAGGGAGAAAAAGACTAAATATGCAAAAGTGCTCTTTAGAGATTAATATTTTTTCGCATCATGAAATGATAAAGAAACAATTTTATCTTATGCATTGCATTGCACAATCTCTCTCAATTTAGTGCTCGTTTTAGGTAATATGTCCTTAGAGCGCCAGTGTTTTATATTTTGAGAAATTAACATACGTGTTTTCTATTTTTTTCATTGTTATGTATTTTGCTGCATATAACATAGTTATGATTAATTTGTTAATATATGATGATAAAACGAAAAGAAATGTCGATGACTGTTTATAGTTAATATATGAATTACTTCCCTGCTTTATAGCTTAGTATTTGAAACTTAAGGTTGGAGTGTCTATCAAAAAGTATTTTCGTGAATATTTTGTCTAGTGGTACATGGTAGATTGATTAAAAGATTGAATTTGTTGAGAAACACCCTTATCAGAAGGAATTTCAGAATTATGACATAGAATCTTGAAAAGCCTAAGGATCACTAAGACCCTGATATTCGGATTCAGTTTACTGAACTGCATACAGTCATGTATGTTTCTACGGAAAAGTGATTGATCACTTGAGGAACCTTCTTGGCTAAAAGTGACAAAATCTTGAAACTATACTGTTAATTCATGTAAAAAGAAAACATTTTAATCGATTATGTTGATCAACAAAAAGAAGATTCTATTAAATGTTACAAATTCATAAAAATATATAGAAATCTTGTTTATTGTTGAAAAATATACTAATAAAATTATTTAATTAAGAACTGTATGATATTCTTCTTGTAAGATCATTTATAAGTCAATTTAATTGTAAATTATTCATTTATATGTCACATTTTTGTTATTTTCCAACGCTGTCCACTATAATTACCAGTTTTAGCAAGTATAAGTTGATTATTATTTTTACCATCATTAACAACATCAAGACACTTATTATCACCTTGCCATTTTGTTGTCAAACGATAAAATCCATCAACGATTGGAGTAATCTTCCAATATTGTCCGCTATAATCACCCGTTTCAGCAAGTATAAGTTTATTATTGTTTTTACCATCATTAACAACATCAACAGATTTATGATCACCTTGCCATTTTGTTGTCAAACGATAAAAACCATCAACGATTGGAGTAATCTTCCAATATTGTCCGCTAGAATCATCAGATTCAGCAAGTATAAGTTGATTATTATTTTTACCATCATTAACAACACCAAGAGATTTATTATCACCTTGCCACTGTGTTGTTAAACGATAATAAGAATTTGGATCAAAGTCTTGTTCTTCAGCTATAATTATAAATAATAAAAAACAGAGATATATTTACTTTTAAGTGTGATTATACTGTTATTACTATATTCACACAAAATATGATAATTCGTGTTTTAAATAGGGATGCCTGAGCTTCACAATGAGTCATCTACATGTTATCGATTGAAACTGTTCTTTTTATTTTTCAATTCTATCTATATTATTTATATGTTTTATATAATCAGTCTTCTAGATATTTGACAGTCATCACATATTACATCCATCTTTTGAGAATACGACTCATTAGAGAAAGTGATACGGTTTCGTTGAATGCATTATATATACCTCCATATTTCCAAATATGAAAAAGATTATCTTTTTCGTTCGAGACATAATCGGATAGGATATATCACTTGGTCCGAACCGAAGTCTCAATAAGGGCATATATGTCGGAATATAATTCATCTATGAATTAATTTCTTAAGAAAGGATATTGAAATTTAGTTTTACTTAATAAGCATCTAATGTCACTGTCCGCATAAAATCCATGTTTAACTTAAAAAATTATTTTCTTCTTAAGGCAAGGCACATATAGTTTTCTCCCAAAATAGGATAATGATTAGTATTTTGATCATAACTAAAAACACTTCTGATAATGCGATAATTATTTTCAGAGAATTACTCTTCTGTAAAGATTGCTTCTTCAAGGGATTTGCTTTTGGCAATAACATAATGCTTGAACTTGGAAAACTAGTTTCTTCTGACACAGGATATAAGCTCAGGATGACAATTAATATAACGTGTCCAGTAATTCAGTAAATAAGAAAAGTTTGAATATCTCATCTGTATTTTGGTATAATGAACTGGTTCTTTCATCACTGATAAAGCATTGTTTATAGCTCATATTCATAAGAGAAACGTTAACAAATGCTACTTCGAAGTTTATCTGCAACACATTTGCAGTTTTCTCAACGAATTCTTGTTGTTTATAACGGAAACGTTTTGAGTAGAATGAATAACAAAACATGTATTTGTGATATAAATTTGAGATAAAATAACAATAGTGTGGAGACTTAATTGGAAAAATTGAGTTTGTTATTTAGTTTTTACTATGGAAATATATATATTGTTCTTTTTTTTTGAGCTTGTGAAAGGTTAGAAGGCACTTATGGCATTTCATAGTATTTATTCAGATTTTTCTTGTGAATATTAGCTATGAACAATGCTTTATCGATGTTGATAGAATCAGCCAATTCGACCAAAATATGGGAGAGATATTCAAATTATTTCTTGTTCAATAAATTGCTGAACACCTTGTATGTTGATTACGTGTTTTTTCTTTGGATTATTTCTTTAAGAAAAAGACGATAAAAATATAGCAAAAAATATATATATTTGCGTCTTCGCTTTCGTACTCACATGTGGACAAAGGAAATTTTTCATTTTGTTCTTCTAGTTCTTCGTTTGCATTATGAGTAAAATTCCATTGTTTGACACCTTGAAAACAATCGAGTTTATCTCCAACTAACATTTGAATTTCAGCAACTAACTGTTGCATTCTTAAATCCATATTTGTATCAATATCACGAAAATTAATCCATTTATGTCCTGCTATAGTAAAACCTAACCAACCTGTTGGTTTCCAATTTGGTATTAAAAGTATTGGAATAATACACACGCGTTGTTCTTTTGCATAAGTTAATTCATCTTTACATGCGACACTATCTTGATATTTTGGCGTCAAAAAACAACATATAGCTGCTGCATTTTCCACTCCTTCTGCCATACTTAAACGAAAGAAAAGAATAAATCATACAAGAAAAAATGATTATACTAATATTAGTAAAAAAAAGTCTACCTATCACTTAAATGACCTTTCATTCCACCTTGCGTATCCATCCATAACGGAATATTTAATTCCTTAAGACGACGATAAACCTCTGTTACAAGTTTTTGATGATCCCATTGATAGGATAGCATAATATGTTTTTGAGACGACATTTGTGTTCTTCTAAAGAGGAAATGATTAATTTGAGATAACAAAATATGTATAAGTTTCCAACATTTTTGTATTTGTTCGAAAGACTTATCTAAGTTTCAATCCATTAGTTGAAATTGATATATTACAACCAAGTCAAATATCCAGCACCCGACTCGAACCAGAGCATGAATTCAGGCCTAGACTCACCAGGTCGGTTCGGGTGCCGAATGTAAAAAACAAGTGTCGGTGCAGGTCTGGTACGAAAAGTCGCATCTGTGCAAGAGATTAGTTGAAGTAGGCTAATTTATTTCAAAAATAATTCACTTGTAGGCTCAAAGCGTATTTTGCCCGTTAAGGCTATTCCTATAATAAAGACTTCAATAGTACAAATTAATTGAGAACCTGATTATGAAACTTTATTATTGTGTCTGACTTTGTTTTTGTCTTTTTTTGTACTCAAAAAGTGAGTGCACTATAGAATCGGTCAGTGTGTCCGGCCGTTTACACGATAACTTTTGAAAGGAGAGTCCGATCGCGATGAAATTTTCTACACAGTTCAGTCTTAACAATGTCTCAATAGATTTCGAAGATGGGTAAAATTGACCGAACCATTCCTGAGTTATTGCAAAATTACTCATTTTTCCCTATAGCTTGCTATGCGAAAATCGAGCCATCCCCGCTTTCGTAAAAAAAGTTTCCTATCATACTCAAACAAAACTCCAACTATTATATACCATTCGATAGAGAATTTTACGAGCTACCAAATGGTACATAAAATATATAGAAACAAGAAGGCTAGCTCACCTATTGCAAAGATAAATAAACGAAAATCGGTTCTGTTCTTGTCCACGCTCTAACTGATCCACAATTAGAGTACTATCTTCCGATACGAGGTGATGCTTGAAGGTTTTCTGGAGTGGAGAACTCGAATGTGTACTCCACTTGTTTCGAAGCCCTATTGGTTGAGCACTGACCAATAGAAATCAAGTTATAGAAAAAAACGACTTTCTGAGGGTAAATTAAGGCGAAGAGTTCAAATCTGAGCTGTATTCGCCCCCAAATCCTATTGGTTGAGCAGTAGTCAATCGAATTTAAGTGTTTATAGAAAAGGTTTGTCAAGTTAATTTATATATCCGCACATTCTATGATTACTGATTTGTCTCATTCACTTTTTTGAAGTACACATAACTCTTGGACTTAAGTCCAAGGTTTCCACATTTATTAAATAACACACAATCACGCAGAAAAGGATCAATACAACATTACTACTATACCTTGTTAATAAATATAGAAATTTCAACAAGAATTATTATTTTTTTCGAAGCATGTGTAAGCAACCGAAAAAAGATGTAATTCATGTAAAAGCAAAACAAAAGGAATACTGCAATCAGTGTTGA